TGATAGGCCTGCCGTGCGAATTGCAGCAAACACAGATCTAAGTCACTGCAAATGCTGCTCAAACGTTTGGGAGAAGACAACGACGTCGTCTAAGTAAACAAGGCATGCTTCCCACTTGAGACCGGAGAGCACTGTATCCATCATCCTCTGGAATGTCGCAGGGGCAGAACACAGACCGAAGGGCAGCACCTTGAATTCGTACAGACCATCAGGCGTTATGAATGCTGTTTTCTCTCGGTCGCGTTCATCAACTTCGATCTGCCAGTAGCCACTGCGTAAATCCATAGAGGAGAAGTATCGGGCGTGTCGGAGGCGGTCTAGTGAGTCGTCGATGCGCGGAAGCGGATAAACGTCTTTCTTTGTGACTTTGTTGAGTTTGCGGTAATCGACGCAAAATCGGAGAGTGCCATCCTTCTTTTTTACCAGTACGACGGGGGACGACCATGGACTGTTCGAGGGTTGGATAACGCCATCTTCGAGCATCTGCTTCACTTGAGAACGTATAGCCTCTTGTTCCTTTTGTGATACTCGGTAGGCGTGTTGACGTATGGGTCGCTCAGAATGGTCAGTGACAATGCGGTGCTTTACGGTTGGCGTTTGTTTTATCTTGGATGTAGACGCGAAACAGTCGCTAAACATGCGGAGGATACAGCGGATTTGCTCTTTCTGTGCACGTGACAGCTTCGGATTGACATCGACTGCATCGGTTACCGCGGTGTCACTTTCAACGGCTGCAGAAATTGGGGCTATCGTCGTACACGCTTCATCGTCAATGGATTCGAAATTAGCGATAGTTGTTCGCTTGGCCAAATGTTGGTATGATCCACTAAAATTGGTGACCAACAACTCAGTCATCCCACGTTTAAATTGAATTATGCCGCGGGCAACACAGATTTGCTGAGACAAGAGCACCGAAAGGTTGGCTTCAGCGATACCACTACTGGCATGGTCTATGTCGCCCTGTACTGTAACGAACATACTGGTGCGTGGCGGAAGTGTGACGGTGTCGTCGACAATGCGAAGCGCAGTCTTCTGCGGATTGGTACCTCTAGGCTTCGGGCCATAGTCGTCAGCAAACGTTACGAGGCAGTCTCGAAGATTTATAACAGCGCCGTGCTCACGAAGGAAATCCATGCCAAGGATTACTTTCCGGGAGCATTCGGGAAGCACAACGAAAGAAGCAACGAACGTCGACTCACAGATTTGCAGCCTTGCGGTGCATCTCCCGATTGGTGTCAAGAGATGACCACCGGCTGTCCGAAGGTTTGGTCCATGCCCCCAAGGAGTCGTGACTTTCCTGAGTTCAGCCACAAGTTCAGCGCTGATAACTGAGTAGTCGGCGCCGGTGTCGACTAGAGCAGTCACTGGATGGTTGTCGACACGAACGGCAATGTCAGCAGAAACGGGTTCGTCAGCGATGTGAGGTGTCGGCTGAAAGGAATCGTCGAAGGTCGGTGGAAGGGTCGGAGGAGGCTGTTTTGACGATAGCTTAACAGCGGTCCCACCCCCGGAGGCCGCTGATTCTAGTTTCCCCGGCGTGGACTTGGGGACCTAGCGGATCGTCCCGCAACAACATCGGCGAAAGTGGAGTATTGATTCGCGGACGTAGAGCGTCGAGGAGACGAAGAGCGTGATTGGCGTCGCTGAAGATTCGGAGACGGTAGACTTGCCAAGTATTCTGCGATGGCGCGGGGTCGTTCGCCGTCCCTGGGCCGACGAGCGTCTGGCCGAAATCCAGGTAGGCCCATCTGTCTGTACGAGCACTCCCGGTACAGGTGACCTGGCTCACCACAGTGGTAGCATAGTGGCCGATTGTCGGAAGCGCGCCACACGCTAGATTTACGCAAATTGGGTCGCGGATTCTCATAGTGTGGTGGGCCCGAGAAGTACTGCGGCATCTGCAGTCGTTGGTTTTCATAGCGTGGCCCGCCCGAGAAGTGCTGTGGCGTCTGCAGGCTAGTCGGTCGGGGGAAATAGCTGGCTGCCGGTGCAGGAGTACGTACAGCTTCCGCATACGTTAGCAGAGGAGCTTCGGTTGGAGGTGGCGCTAATGGTCGTACCAGCTGCCGCACCTCTTCACGGACGACGTCTGTCAGAGCAGCCACTTGAGGCTGTGAAGGCACTGCGTGAAGCTTTTGCAGCTCGTCGCGTACAATGCTACGGACTAGCTCAGCAAGGTCTCTCACGCTCGTGACATCGGGTGTTACCAAGGCTGCTGACAGACATGCAAGGTTGTCGGACCGCTCATACTGCGAAGATCGCTGTCTCAGCATTCGCTCCATTGTCGTCGCTTCACGGAGGAATTCTGCCACGGTAGCTGGTGGGTTTCGTACAAGTCCTGCAAACAGCTGCTCCTTGACACCCCGCATCAGAATGCGCACCTTTTTGTCTTCCGTCATTGCAGAATCCGCTCGACGAAACAGACGAGACATCTCCTCAACAAACATGGCCACGCTTTCATTGGGTCGTTGATTGCGAGAATTGAGGAGACGTTCGGCTTGTTCTTTCCGGTCAGCGCTACCATACGTGTTCCGCAGCTGAGTGCAAAACACCGGCCAGGTTGTCAGGGCGGCCTCGTGATTCTCGAACCAAATACGCGCCGAATCCTCCAGGTAGAAATAGACATACCGCAGTTTCCGGTGCTCGTCCCACTCGTTGGCGACGGCGAATCGATCGTATTGGTCCAGCCAGTCTTCAACGTCTTCGTAGGGCTCCCCATGGAAGGGCTTTGGCGTTCGGGAGGCTGGTAGCCATGGTGCTGGCGGAGTCGCGGACGGTTCAGTCTGGCTTGCAGTTGTCGCATATGCCATGGTTCTGGAGCGTTCCGGAAGAGGGCTGAACTGGGGTGGTAGGCCTAGTTGCCGCCGACTGCGTCGAAGGTTGGCTGTTTCTACTAAGGTGTCAATGTTGGGACCGAGATCTTCCTCGTGGTAACAGTGCATAGACTATTACCCCGCACCTCCACCAGTGTCACGTTACAACGTGACTGTAACCTGCTGATAAGGGCACGCAAGGACGTCAAACTGATTCGAACAACGGCAGTACGACTATTGTTTTTCTCTGCACGCGCATCTTTGTCCTCTTCTGAACAGCGGCACATACAAGCATGCTAGCATCTGTAGAAATAATAGTTTCAGAACTTATACTAGTGGCATTATCATTCGCGTGACATGTCAGCGTCCTTCCTTTCACAATTTCGAACCTCACAGCGATGAAAAATCTCAAAGGAACACGCAAACCATGAGCAGCTGAACCACGAAGGGATGCACATTACTAAAGATGCTGCGGGTAACGCTGGTTCTGTCAACGCATGACGAACGCGCAATTTTTCGGCGTACCCAAACCATTTGCCACTTGATGACACCGCCTCACCTGCTAACGTGGTGCGAGTGGAAAGGATTCATTACTCAGCCCTCCTCCTTTTACGGTTGGTGTTTGTTACGTGTGGTGACTAGACTTACCTTGGGAGGCAAACTATGAATTCTGGAGATATAATTCATACCTGTTTTACCAGTTTCATTACGTTTCATTGAGCCACTTTCGGCGAGCGTTTAACTCACATAAAACAACTTCATTTTTCATTTATTAGATGGAGCCACCACCAAAACACGCCTGGAAGATTTATAATTCATTGAAAAAATTTAGTTTGAAGCAGTGAGTGGTCAAATTAGTGAGCACGAATAGATACAAGACACAATATGCATCTGCTAGTGTGCAATACTCGTTGGTAGTTAGCGTCTAATGAAAAAAAAAAAGCGAGTCCCTACGAGACTGGCCAGCAGAAAAATTAGCTATATTTCAATGCTGTCTAGTAGGTTCCCCAGTAAATATAAAATAATTTTCTCTTTAAACAATCACAGAAAGGGGCCTGCTACTTAATTATATAGAATTTCAGAGTGTCAGCTAGTATAGTTTTGTCGCTTCGTCGGTAATGCGTGACCAAGTACAGCCGTAAACTGGTCCATTGACACAATAATTATTCATCTAGTTTTCGTCAAAGCACTAGGCGACTTCGTATGGAAATTAAGTCTAATGTATTCTACATAGCCACTAAATATTATGGTTCTGCTATGTAAAGAAAAAAAGATATTTCTACACAAACCTTCACTATTTTGCCCATATTCATTGGAACGTAAAAAAATACTAATTAGTTAATGTCCAATATCTCTTCATAGAAACTTTGAACGGCACTTCGCCTAAAGGCACAGTTAACTCTGCTTAGTCACGTTGAATAGTTGCGCCGTACTCGCAGTACAACGGAGGCTTGTACAGCGAAAATGCTTTTGTTGCTCATACTATTTTCACTGTTACTAGGTAACGCTTCCAACCAGGCATTAAAATGAAATGTCATTTCATAGAGGGGATAACGAGCTTTCTGAAGTAGCCCAATGCAGTTTGCTTTGTGAAGCGCTGTGAGCCCAGTGCATCTGCAAACAATGCGTAAAAGGCGGAGTGGTTGCGGCCGGAGTGGGACCACCACCTTAATTAAACAGCTGGTTAAGTGTTGAGCTGTAAACTTTGTTCGTTAGCCCTCCTCCTGTGTGTTTTTTTCGTGCGTCCTTTGTGCGTGAGCAGCGCGCTGCACGTTTCGATCTGCTTGCTGTTGTCAGCGTTACATTTCAAATTGCTATCACATTCATTGCTTCACCTTTGCGGCGAAACGGCGTTTTTTTATGAATATTTATTTCTTTCTCCTGAAATCCTTTAGTCCCCATCTCTATACAGAGCAGCCGGCAAAAATATGTTTTTATAAATAAGAGTCCCTCTCTCTGTCTCGAAAACGTTGCGATGCTTGCCTTTCACAGTTGCTTGCCTTGTGGGTAAAATGGCACAACCCGCCGTAGTGGATTGTGCCATTTGGACAATGAAAGCCACGTCGGGGTTGTAGAATCGAAAATAGGCTTTATTGTTCTCCGAATAAAGACGACGAAGGGCATCTCGTGAGGCCCCATCATAATCATCGTCGAAGTGGTGGCAGCACCAGCGTGCGATGGCCGCGCATTAAATGGCGACAACGCTGGAGACGTCGTGAAAGAAGCCCTGAACAGCGGCGCAAGTGCAGACATGCGTACCGCGTCGAGCGTTCTCTGGTCGTTCGTGGTAGCGGCGGCTCTCGTTCCTTCGGTGACGGCCACCTGGGAGCGTCAGCTGGAGCCTAAACTCTTTATCGAGGAGTACCCGCACCAACTGGTTCGCGTGTTCCCCGCCCATAACTTGACTGCCACGCCGGGAGAGTATTTGCGGCTACTACTACTCGACGGGGACTTTGTGCTCGTCGGGGGCAGGGACTACCTCTACAACCTGAGTGTTCACACGCTCGATCAGGTGAGGCAAAAACACGAGCGTGCGCTGAGCCTTGCTCGCCTCGACCGGTTCGTCTTGAAGGACCCCTGACACCAATTTTGGAAACTCCAGATGCTTGTGTTGTTTGATAGTCCCGCATGAGGGGCCGCCTCTGGCAGATTATTAGTGGCAAGCGTTGCCTAGAAGCTATTTACCTTTCGTTTTAAAGTAAGGGTGCGTGCTCCTCCGAGTACTCAGGTACAATCGACATTATCGGTGGTTTCACGTAGGTAGGGGATCCCCTTGTGACGTTGCAAAGGTCAAGACCATTTGTGGGGCGCACATAATACCACGACTGTCACCCGGCGAGAACTATTGTCCACCACACTCGCTCTGTCGTCGGGCTGCTCTCGAGGTGGCTTAGTGCGACTACGCCAGGAATGCTTTTTTTTTTTTTTTCTGAGGGAGGCATGCTCAAAGCCCCCACATCGTTTCATTCTTAAGGGCCCACGGGTCCCCCTATTTGAAAACAGCATGTTTCAGCCTTACCGAAGCTTGAGCACACGTAGTTTCAAAGGCTGCTCAGCTGCGGGGCACTAGTTTATGGTATTTAGGCGGGCGTTTTGAACTGACGTAAAATCGTTCTGAATTAACGCCGCTAGCATTAATTATACGATGCGTTAATGCATATACGATACAATTTCGGCATTACCAGACGTAAAGCTACAAGTTACTGTAAAAAACTCGCAAACAAAACTTTCACTGCCAGGGGTACTTTAACGAGAGGAGCCAGTTACGGGGAACGTGGAGGTATTCTCGCTCATCCACCTTCCTCTGATCCATATACCTTATCAGCCCACTTACAGGTTGCATATTTTGATTGATATGTGGAGTTTGACGTCCCAAATCCACCATAGGATTACGAGAGACCCCGTAGTGGCGGACTCCGGAAATTTCGACCATCTGGGGTTCTTTAACGTGCTCCCAAATCTGAGCACACTGCCCTACAGCATTTTCGCCTCCATTGAAAATGCCGCTGCCGCGATTCGATCCCGCGACCTGCGGGTAGGTTCCATATTTTGTTCCAGGCATGTAGTGTACTGCTGTCAAGAAAACTCCCCAAGCTTTCGTATTTTGACTTAGTAAATGATGATTTTGCGTGCCGTTCTAAATGTATAGATGGTTCAGGGTCCACCGCCACCCGTCCTCTGATGAACGTTAAGACTTTAGCTACTCGTTCTTTGGTGCAGCGCTAGGTTGCTTATACGCAAGGTTTACTGCTCACCGCTGCGTGAGGAACGGGATGTCACTTGAAGAAGCTCGGCAATCGCTAATGGGGCCGGGAGGATGTTGCTGAAGGCTCTGCAGCTTTTCGACCTTAGCATGCAAGTACGGAACACGAGCACTTTCAAGATTCTCGTTGTTTTGAAGTTACTCCTCGGGTATCTTGGAACACAATTGTAGCACGCACAGACGAAGACACGTGAGAGGCATGAATACTCGGCACTAAACTCCAGGTGCTTGTTTCCCCTGCTTCTAGATAAATACGTACTCGACACTCTTCATTTAGCTGGTGCTTAGGAATCCTTCACTTGACAATGCCGTTACCTTTGGCAACTAAAATGCACCTGCAACTACGGCTATCCATTATTTCGTGCCTTGAATAATATTTTCAGAACTGAAATGTAGATGTGGTTGTATTCCTTAGTGTCTGCTGCAATAGCAGTCGGTCATTTGCCAGATTACGTTTCAGTAAAATACACATTTCTACTGGTTCCCCAACAGTTGTAGCTGGTACTACCCAAGTCCACACAGAACCCATTCCTATCTACTGCGACAGCGCAAGTTCAGGAGCCGCTATAGACGCGTGCCTCCGACGCGGGCAGTACATAATCCGGCTTCAGCTACGGCTTGTGTTATGATCGATGATCTCGTTCACATGGTTTTTTAACAAACGCGGTTGCAGTGCGTCGGTCCACCCAATAGGTAACGTGCCCGATATCTTGCAGGCGGGAAACATCAGCTGGACAGCGTCTGGTTCCACCAACCCCGTGTGCACAGACCGGGCAGAGCCGAATGACCAGAACTGCGCAAACTTCATCCGCGTGGCACGGCATCTGTCGTCACAGAGCCTTCTCGTTTGCGGCACGAACGCATACTCTCCTCGATGCCGCGAGTACAAGTACGACCCGGCACAACGCAACTACACCTGGAAGACGGACGTCGACGGGCAATCGATCTGCCCGCAGGACCGCAACAGTAGCGCTGCCGTGCTGTTTGTGAACAACAGGCAGATCGCTGCACTATCTGCGCGAGCTGGCATACCCAGGGTACCAGCCGTGTTGGAGGCGAAACCCCTACGGACCAGGCCCGAAGACCCGACGCAGCTAGCCGCCGATGCGGAGTTCGTGGGCGCCTTTGCGTTCGACGACCACGCCTACTTCTTCCTCACCGAGTCTGCGCCAGAGAAGGACCACTGCGGTCCTAGAACTGCGGCCACGGTGGCCCGGGTGTGTGTCAACGACCCCGGTGGCGCACCCCCGCACGACTGGATGTGGACAACGCTGCGGAAGGTCCGCCTTCAATGTTCGCTCAACGGCACGAAACCATTCGTCTTCACCGACATCGCGGCAGTCAGCCCAATCATGACCCGCTGGAACAAGGCATTCGTGTTCTATGCTCTTTTCCGAATTAAGGGCAGCCCCTTCCAGGGGTCGGCAGTGTGCGCGTTCAGCGTGGACGACCTGATCGCCACCATCAGCGACGGTAAGCCCGGCCGCGAGAAGTGTCCAGCTCAGCCAACCATCGTGGGCAACGAGACGCAGTTCCTCCAAGACAACAGCCCGCTGTCTCGCAGAGAGGTGCACAACTACCTCAACGAACCCATGTTGGCGCACGTCGGTTTCGATTACCACTACACCAGCCTCTGGATAGACCCACAGGTGCGCACCGTGAGCGGCAAACGCTACGATGTGTTCTTCATCGGAACAAGCCACGGACACGTAATCAAGGCCGTCAACGTAGGTCATAACTCCATTTCAACCGTTGTCATTGAGGACATCATTGTCTTTCCAGGAGAGGATCCGGTCCTGGACCTGAAGATCGTGAGACGACCCGGCGTGGTCACACTTCTGGTGACAACGTACCACGAGCTTGTGTCTGTGCCACTGGACAACTGTAACTGGACGGTGCGCACGTGCACACAGTGCATTGGGCTCCAAGACCCATACTGTGCCTGGAACAAAGACACGACCAAGTGCGAGAGTCTCGTGGACCAGGCTGTGCCCAAAAACGCCGTACAGGAAGTGGCTAGTGGCCACAGCCTCGAGTGCCCGGACGAGTTTTCTAAACACATGAAAAACATGAAGTTCCCACATGGCAGTGATCCATGGGCTATTGACAACACTGCTTCCAGTGGTCGAGCGACGCCTCATCTCTACAGCGCCCACACGCTGGGCTTTGCGATCACATTCTGCATAATGGGTTCCGTCGTGATCGGCTTTGGTATTGGGTACTGGTACAGGCACAACCAGCGTAAGGACATGGCTTACTTCAACTACCGCTGAACCACCATTCAGAAAAAGACAAAACGACAGTTGCATGCATGTGACTATATTTTTTATTTCTTCGTCTTGGAACAAGTCACATTAATGCATTCACAATAAAAACGCCCGGAAACTCGGGGCCAAACAATCCTCCCCACGTATGGTTACAACTCAAAACATTGTTTTGCTACACCCAAAACGCGAAAAGACGACTACAAAAAGAATCCGGAGTACAGGAGTCAGCCTTTTTTTTTAAACTTGTGTGTACTTCGCGAAATCGCCAGGCCCGCCCGGCATGCCTTAGTCGTATTTGGTTTGACCAGACGCGTGTTGTCGAGTTGCGATTGGCTAGATGTCCAAATTGTTCTAGTTTTTGAGTGAAACTAAGCGCCGTTTGTACCTCCAAACCTGTCCTCATCGCACATACGCGAAGAATAATAGAGTGTCCTTTACAGAAGGAAAACTCTACGCTGCACATAGGTAGCTTTCATTGCCGAGTAAAAAGTGCTTATGTGCTTTGGTCATTTGTTCTGAGGTGGACAGTTTTTTTTTTTCCTTTGTGCTGTCACCGCCTAAATGCAGAGACCTCCGGCTTACAGAAATTCGAGTTTGTCGGCGTCTTCCCCCCACTTAACGCCAGGACCGAGAGGGAGTTTGGCAATGGAACCTCCCAAGGCTGACGCATGTTACGTTCCGCATGAATAAAGAAACGAGCGTAAAGACTGAATCCACAATGTAAAAATTTAATGGAATGAACCTTAGTGAGCCAAGGCTAAAATAGGTACTGAACACCAAAAAGTATTGGCAGTGTGTTTCCTCCTAAACTTCATTGAAAACTGCTTTCGATAGCAGAGACGCAAATTGCCTTCAACAAAAATTACCTACCCAACCGCGGTTTCTTGAGAAAGGTCACCCTGTGAATAATCCAGAATAAAAACACTGCCGTAGAGGATTTTGCCCAGCATTGTACTCTCATTGCACATTCCTAGGCATCTTGCCCCACTTCGCAACCTTATGTGATGCCCAGCAATTAGCTGGCAGTACCATAGTGTAAAGGGGAATTGAAACGCTGGGAGCCACACCATGTATGCACTTCCTGCTCACTGCAGCACACGGCTCTCCTGCCCACTGGTTTCCACTTAGTATTATGTACAACGTCCCACAGATACCAGCAGGCAAACATGCAGGCACAAGTTATTCCATGAAAACAATCACCCACAGGGCTATAACAAATCCTGGACGTGTGTATAAATTATGCGATGTGGGCATTGTGACTGAGTTGCTGTAAAATGAGACCTATTTTTTCCCTCCTCCGCTGATGGACTGTATGTACAGGTGCGCCGAGTGTTGAGGAACACAAGCGATGGTAAAACAAAAGGAGTAGGCACCTCAGTCATCCAAAGACTGCAAGGTCCCGAGACAGTCCTTTTAGCCACGTACTAACTCATTAGATAAGGCACATTCTTGGCACCGAAAATGACCACGATGCACCAGTGATGGTCGATGGACGTGCACTTTTAACCCTTTCTCACCACAACCGTTCACATCTCACCACTGTATGCTTTCATACAACTGGAGGAAAAAGCCCGCAAATTCAAATTATGGTTAGACCTGGGCTGAAACAGAGTGGTTTCCGCAACTACAGGAATAGGTGCTGAAGATCAATATGACACGCATAAATATAAGGAAATTGAAAAAATTTTCAGAAGACACAGTGACCTAGAAGGCACAGTGTTCCCCAAAGGCAGGCCACAGTTTTTTTGCCAGACAGGAAGAGCGGAGACTAGATAGAAAACACTCCTCATTATCACTCTCAGATAGTTGCACAGTTCCGACAGACTAAAACCATGCTAACTTGACACAGGAAATGTGTCAGACCGAAACGTAATATCCTGTACCTCCCTGCAAGTAACAAGCAGTAGGCGAACCTTGCTCCACGCTTGATCACAGACTCAATGGCAGACGAGGGAGGGGAAAAATGTAAAATCACTCTGAGAATGCAATGAAAAATCACCTGGAGGCTGTTCGGGCCATACATATATATATAATATATACATACATACATACAACCGCACAAAGGCGATGCGCAACATTCAGCATGAATGAAGGCGCAGTGATGTACATACATATATTACAAAGACGGGGATGGTGTTTCCTTTTTTCTAGCTAAATGAGGATGCAAATAACAGCAGTGACACCTAGGAACTCATTCGTCTTGAATGCAGAGTCAAGTCAAACAAGCGTGCAGCATGTGGCTCCCCCAGAAACACCACCAACCAACAGCCTCTCTCTATAGCGACCTTGCCATCCCTACACCCCTGTCCAAGGAAGCAACCAATACTATGATGGCAACATGGAACGACACCACAACAAGCTGCAGTGAAAAGTCGGCAGAACTAAGCCAGCAGAGCAGATTTACTGCTCCCTGGCCACCCCACATTCCTACGAAGCTCCTCTACCATGTCCCTGCCATTTACCACACGACAGCACAAGTCCGAAAAAAAGAATAAACACCAAAGGAAGAGAGGGGTGTGTTGTCTGTGTAGGTAAGCGCAGCCCCGGGAATACTTCCCCACTGTCATGGTCCCTAGCCCCCTCTTTGCAGAAAGAGACACCTGCTTGTCCTGGCCACAAATAAAGAAAGACGCCGCCCCTAGAGTGCGCGTGGATCATTGGTTGAATTTCTTTTTCTTTGGCCACGGAAGGTCTCTGCTCTGATGCGTCACATTGCATCGACGGACAAATCGGAGTTCTTTTCCCCCCCCCTTCTCAACCCACCCCATGTGTCCTTTCTCGCAAACACTTTCACACAGTAACTATGCCTCGTGGAATTCAATTATAATTTAATGGTGAACTGAGGTCGAAAACCGTAAAATTAAAGCTATGCTCGAGCGTACGAAATCCTGCCACTTGAACCGCTCAACTACCGAGTGGCAGAGCCCTTGACAATGACTGAACAGAAGGCTCAAGTTGACTGCAGCTAGTGCCTATCCCAACACCTACAACTATGAACAAAACATAAGTTAAAAAACTCCTAAATGCTGCGACCTCAGTCGGCATCACTCAGACGTACATTATTATAACGCCTGCAACTATGAACAAAACACTTAAAAGATGCCTAAATGCTGCGACCTCAGTCAGCATCACTCAGACACACATACAAGCTTTGTTCAATTCGCCAATTCAAAACAATGCCTAGCTTTACTGTACAACTAGCGAGAAAAACTGCAATTCTAGCAAAATTAAACTCGAGCTCCACCCTACAGCCTGGAAGGACCGCAAATAAGGTCCTCTAGACACACCGAGCTCCAATGCATTTGCAACCTAACTGGGACCTTCATCTTTTCTCCACAGTTCGGACTATGGTCAGTTGCCACGGTTACGGCGCACCTTTTTGGCAGGCAAGGCGTGCCTGACGTATGTGCCGCACACTTGCAACACAAGTCTTAAGCACCCTAGAACACACAAGTACAAGCTTGCTGCTGGTGTAGGATCCTGTGAAGTGCGCTGACTGTACTGTGTTGTTCACAGTTGCTCCCGCAAGCCTCAAGTTACACAAGGCCCACATGGTGTCGGACACACTACACACATAGGAAAAAAAAAAAGCGCACAGCCACAAAGCAGCACTTGAAAGAAATAACAAAAAAAGGTTGTATTAGGTCTAAAAAAAAAGAGAATATAAGGAACATCTATAACATTGGCACCTCATACACATGAGTACGAGGTGCCTCCAGCATAACGTATGAATGAGTTTATCATTTTTGTTTTGTTTTCCAAAAGTGTGCTTGCAACACCAGAAGCACAAGGAGAGCCCATTGCGTTTCTGTGTCATATAACAGTCCATTTTGCAGAATAAACTTTCCTCTCACAGCCTCGAACGAATGCTGCAGAAACAAGTGAGAGGTGAACAAAAACATTCCCCCCCTCCCCCCCACGAACAAGGAAAAGCTACTGCGTTGCACCAGAATAGCCTTAAAAAGAGAAAATGCACGAAAACCACTACTTCACTAAGCTATAAATAAAGATAATAGCTCTCTCTGCACAATACACGCCTATGTGTGGCTTACAAGTACATGCAAAAAGTACAATACGACGAAAAAGCATCTTTGAGCACGCAGACAGATGTACCTTCTGTTGTGCAACGTACATCCCTGGTTAACGACCATCACGGCACACCGGGCAACTGGTTCAAAATAGCTTTCCATTCGTTGCTCCATTGCTGTCATCCGAGTAGATATTACACACCAGCGTCGCACTGCACTGCTCAAACACGAATGTAACTCAACCTCTGCAGGTGACAACACAACTTGCCCCCAAAGACTGAAAAAGTGCTGCAATAAGCTTTTAGCACATAGCTGAAGAAAAATACAGAAGAAAAAAAATAATAGGACCCAAAACTGGTACGCAAGATCTATATAGATGTGCCAGTTAATGTGCATTTGCCGATGATGTGTACTGGACAAAGCTACCTGCGAAGGGGATTCGGACATTCAACAATGAAGCAGCTAAGCAATGCACCTACCGTACTTCAATACCACAGAGCATTACGTGCCATTACTACTCTCAAAAGCTGTAGCCACAAGAGAAATTTCTCTCACTTCAGATCTCTGCAGCCCTGTCAAGGCCAAACCATCAGCAGTATGTCTGCGCGCACTAGTTCATCAGGTTGCGGCAGAGCTACAGGTACAACACTGAAACCGAACGGATGAATTCGATGCATGCAACAAAAACAGAGTTGCAGTTAAGACTTGCAAATGAGAAACTCCGAATCTTGGAACACCAACAAACTGCAGTGGCATGAACACCCAGAACACACACACAGAATAAATATACATAAGTGTAACCTTGCATTTCAGATGGAAGACGAGCCTAGACATCGGAATTTGAGTACACACTCATAATGAAATTAGGGGACCCACGCTACGGATTGTGGCAAACATGTTCATAAATAACATGTTAATAACAACATGCTTTAATAAATGTTCTGTTATTCACAGGCCACATGAAAGAAAAACAAGAACATGGGCCAATGTGTCTCAGAGTGCACTAATGTGACCATGAGATCCAGAGTTCCTAGGCCGTGCTTAAAATAAGTGAGTTTTGCAAGAAAAATGCCTTTATTATTAACATGCAAAAGAGCATGTTCAGGTTCCACTTTCTGTTTACCTGTCACAAATTGCTCATCAAATGTGTGTTCCAGGTACTTTATTTATTTGATCTGCTGCACAAGATCAAATAAATAAAAAAATTGAACGAAATCCTGCTAGCTGCATTATATCATTGGCCTGCAGAAACTTGGTGCTGCTGACAAACCTACAGTAGCACCGTGCCTTGCAAAGGGACTACCACAAAGCATCCTTGTGGCTTCCGAATGATGCTCTAAAGCAGGGTGCAAAAACTTTTCTGCTCCACTAAGTGAGCAACAAATGCCTTATTTGACCAAAAAGATGATACTTTTCCCCCTAAAATAAAGCTGCAATAGAGAGCACCTACACCGATGGGGGTAATAAAAAAAGAAAATTAAATCTTCTGTGTAAATAAAAGTTGGGTGAAAAACATGACAAAGGAAAAGAAAATGACTGTAGAAACATCAGCTAAAGAGTGGAAGAGAAAAACTGCCCATGAGCAAGTCAGAGGTGGTTTAGAGAGTGATCTGCCTTGCTTGACACATTCTGTCCATTCTTGCACCAACATGATCCGGAAATGGGATGGGCTACCTTACACGCAAGTACACACAGATAAAGAAACTGTATATATATGTGTACACCTAGACAGCAGCACATGGTGCAACGCAGAAAAATAAAAAGTGAATGAAAAGAAAGTGTTCTGGAAATATCCCTCCCCCCCCCTTCTCAACACGACAACAGTGGTAGTTGCATCTCAAAGCCTGGCTGCAGCCATGACCACAGAAGTACGCAAGGATCACAGCTGCCAAGTTGAGACTGCAACAAACGGCGGGGAAAAGGCAACATGTCGAAGCAACGATGGTGCACAAGAGCATCATGAGGAGGAAAAACAAAAAGGCCAAGCCACTTTTTTTTCCTCCCATACCAGTGTTCCATTTTCTGCCCCTGTCGTGCAGTGCCAAAAAAAAAAAAAAAAAAAAAAAACGTCTGCTGCAAGCCTGTAGATGCGTACTTTGTTTTTTTTTTTCCCCATGTGTACCGCCCACCACTGCCCAGAGAATGCACAGCAGCCGTGAAGGAGGGGGAGGAGGACACACTCTGACGGCAGAGATGAGTGGAAGAGGAGAAACTGGCGCGGGGAGGAGAAACTGGCGTTGGTGGTGACGGAGAGGTGGGGGTGTTCTGCAAACACACCACCACTCTTCAGTTGCCCCACCAGTCATTGGAGGAACTGCTGTAGTTGCCTCCATAGCTGTTGCTAGGCCTGTAGCCGCCCATGATCTGGCCGCCCGATCCGCCATATCCACCGTACTGGGGTGCACCGCCGTAGCCACCGGGTCCGCCACTGCGGCCTCCCATACCTCCTCCGCTGGGCGGTCCACCCATGGGACGATCGCGACCTCCGCCACCTCCGTACTGACGGTAGTCGCGGCTGCCAAAGCCACCTGAGGCATACCGGGAGCTGCGAAAAAGACAAAAGCACAAAAAGTGAAGCTCCCTGATGACCATTTCTTCGAACAAGACTACAATGAATACCGTATTTACTCGCATGATCCTCGCACTTTTTTTTGGCGGAATACCGATGCAAAGTTGGGGGGTGCGAAAATTGCGCGGGGAAAACTTTCCACGAAAACGCACAGAACGAAAAAAAAAAAAAAAGAAAGTGGCTGCAAACCGGGATTCTCACACCAACAACTAACAGCAAGATTTGAGAAGTATTAACTAAAACTTACCTCAACAATAAAAGCACAGGTTCTACACAAGGCAAGATTTATTTGAGACATAAAAAGTGCAAGCAAATAGTCGAGAATTAGAATACCATATGCAATACCTGCAGCTGTCCAATAAACTATTGATGAAAAATAAACATTATTATTAATATTATTAGTAAAGCTTGTGGGCATTGCAGACGTGGCAGTAGCGTTCGTTGCTCAACAGGAGCCCTCAAAAGGTAAGCGTAGGACGTCAGTATTGGGCTGACAACTTTTAACAGAATCATCCACAGTTTCCTTCTCAAGAAATAAAGTTTACCATCAATCCCAGTTTTAGGTACACGGCAGGCCCAACGCGTCTTGGTGGCTTTCAGCTGCCGTCACCAGTAGCGAACACAAAGCTCGTATGCTCCGAAAGGCCTACCGACGGCCCTTTTGCCGTTGCTTTAAGTGGAGACAGGGGTATGGGAGGCCGAAAATTTTCCGAAAAACCGATTTTTTGTAGTATCTTTTTCATAATCATTAAGGTCTAAGGAAGCTGTTCCTAAAATATTATAGCCCTGTAATGCGCATTTGTCGAGTTATTGGGTCGCAAAGTCAGTTTGATAACCATTTTCGCTTTCCGAAACCCCCCCAAAAACGATCGTATTCAACGCCGCAGCGCGCGAGAACCGCACCAAGTAGCGCGGCCATTTTGGTCTCATTTTACGCATTTTTTCTATTATCTGTTCTTAGCAGAAGAACGTTTTTCACCTAGCAACAACTGCAGCTATCGCGCATAAAAAAACTGAATACTCGCACATCATTGGTGCGTTTTTGTCACGTGGGGCAGTTCCCGGTTTCCTAGAAGAGCAGGCTGTGCCAGCGCTATCACCGCCGCGGCACCCGCGATCGCGGACGCGATAGCCGCATCCCAAGATCACACGAGAGCTGTGCGCGTCGACACTCCCCTGGTTTCCGACACTGAAAAAGTGGCCATCGAGTGATGTGCGAGCGATGTTCTGCAAGATCTTTCATCGAAGTCTGCCACAAAACCCAAGCGGTCTTTTTTTCGAGACTTGGATAGAGCCGCAACGCCTGGTACGCCGTTCACCGTCGTTAGCTTAGAGTTGGTCAACGAACTTCTTCAGTGTAAGAAGAGCGGTGTGTGTGGCGGGCCTGGCAGAATCTCTAAGGAAGACCGCGAATATGGTATAGCCGCGAAACTCGTTCTCACATGTGACGAGTGCGGTAAACTGAGGACCGTATGGAGCTCGCCGACAGCAGGGGAGACGCAGCGCACGGCCCCTTCGAAATTAACGTGCTCGCGGTTCGCGCGGCAATGAGCACAGGAAACGGGCAAACTGTGCTGAACGATATTTTTTCCGCCCTAAATATTTCACGGAAAGGCCTGCACACCAAGACATACCAGGATCATGTGAAATTGAAAATGAACCCTGCCGCACGCGTTATTTACGACTGCGCGAGCACCGTGAAAACGGTGTATTCCGAACTCAACTTTGGAAATCCTGGAAATATTGCCGTTTCCTTTGATGGGACTTGGCTGACCAGGGGCCACTCATCCCATATTTGTGTAGGGACCGTGATTGAACTATTCACGGGTTATGTGCTCGACTTCGTCGTCCTATCGAACTTTTGTTTGGGCTGCCAGCTAGGGCTGAAGGAGGACAACCCAAGGTATGCCGAGTGGCTAGCTGGTCACACTTGCCAAAAGAATACCTCCAGTAAGCCAGGACAAATGGAGGTGGAAGCAGCACAAATTTTATTTGGCCGCTCATTGGAGAGACATGGGCTCCGCTACACAACCATGCTGTGCGATGGAGACAGCCGGGCCTTCAACAGTCTGCAGGAGGCACAGGTATATGGCTTCGTGCCAATAAAAAAAGAGGACTGTGCAACCATGTGCATAAGCGCATGGGCACAGCACTTCGAAACCTCCTGCAAAAACAAAGAGCCGAAGGAAAGCCAAAGGAAAGCCAAGCCGTGGCGGCAAGGGCAAACTGACATGCGAGCTGGCCACAAAGCTCATGTCATATTGTGGATGGGCTTAATAAAGCAACCAAGAAAGCATTGAGGCCATGAATAATACTGTCTGGGCAACCTTTTATCACGTAGCATCTACTGATGCAAGCCCTCATCACTCTCACTGCCCAACTGGTGAAGAGTCATGGTGCAAGTACAACAAGGCTGTTGCCAAGCAGGAGACTCCTCTGAATCATCGCTACAACCTGCCGGAGTATATTGTTGATGCCTTGCGGCCTATTCACACGCGCCTCTCTGACAAGAAATTACTGGAGTGTTGTCAGCGAGGCAAAACACAGAACCCAAACGAGAGTGTGCATTCCGTCATCTGGTCGCTCGTGCCCAAAAACAAACACGCGCCGCTTTTCACCGTTGAAGCTGCTGTGGCCGAAGCTGTCGCAAGGTTCAACGCTGGCAAAGGGAGAGCAGATGCCGCCATATTGAAGGAGCTGCACCCGCAGCAGAGTGTTGTGGCCGCTGAAAGATGCTCAGAAAAGGACAGTCACCCACTAGTGGCATCGGAGAAGAAGCATGAGCATGCTGAAAACTTCAAGCATGCCATGAAAAGAAAGCGCACCAAGGAGAATGATGATGACTACATTCCTGGTGGCTTCTAACATGGTTAATACACAGATTTACACCTTTTCTTGTTAAATATAAGTGCTCAGCATGTTCCTAAACTTCTTTTCTCGTCTCAAAACAACATTTTTCATCACACCCTAAGCCATTGCCCACAGTATCTTTTGATGTAGCAGTCGGATTTTGATAATTCTTGCAGCATTTGAAAGCTTATACATTGATTAGTGCAAGAAAACAAGAAAAAATGTAATATTTTTATTTACAATAGTGATTTAATTAGCAACAAAATTAAGCAACAGTTTCAGATTTCTATTGAGTATACTTGTTAAGGCCATAACTCTGGTACCAATAAAGCTAAAAATAAAATTATGGTTTTGTCGGACTCCCTGGCCTTCATGGAATGCTGTCATATCAAAATTGTAGCAATATTTTATGAGGAAGATGTCAAAGGGCTGGGCAGAATGCAAGTTTATGTAACAGTCAATATTTAAAATCTAAAAGTGATAGCAAAAAACTAATTGCATATTTGTTTTCAGCTGTGAAAAATACATATTGCATTGAAATTTCAGCTGGAAATACTGAAAATTAAAAAAAAAATTTTCAGACCAGTGTCTCCCCTTAATCATGATCTATCACTTTCAACTTGAAAGCAGCCGTGTAGCTTCAGTATTGCCCTATACCGTCACAAGATTACCGATACAACATAAAAACACGTCGCAATGCACACTTGCCACTTTGGCTTGGCTTAGATTGGATTGAATCTTCATGCAATAATAGTGCGCTTGATGCTTAAGAGATGGCACCACATGGTGCGTGCTATTATCATCAGTGGCTGAAACGAGCAGACGACATTATTGCGGCAGTTTTTGGGAGTGCGATAATTACTCGACGAAAAAAAAAAATGTATTTTTGTTTGGTGATGTGGGGGGTGCGAGAATTATGTGAGTGTAAGGATTACGCGAGTAAATACGGTAGAATACCAAACGAAAAGCTTGAGGCCGTAGCGGTAGCCGAGAATCAGAATACTTTACGCAAAGCATGTGGGCGTAGTGGTAGCGTTTGTCACTCAACAGGAGCCCTCAAAAGATAAGAGTAGCATGTTAGTATTGGGCTGATGGCTATTTAACAAAATTGTCCGCAGTATCCTTCTGAAGCATAAAGTTTGCCATCAATACCAGTCTTATGCACATGGCATTGCCAACGCGTCTTGGTGGCTTTCAGCTACCGTCACCAGTAGCGAACACAAAACTCGCCGACTCAAAAGGGCCTACCGGCAGCCCTGCTACCGTTGTTTAGTACATGATCAATCACTTTCAACTTGAAAGCAGCCGTGTAGCTTCAGTATCGCCCCATAACGTGACAAGATTACAAACACAACATACAAAACATGCTGCAACACGCACTTGTCGCTTTGGCTTGGATTGGATTGGATTAAATCTCCGTGCAATATTAGTATGCTTGACGCTCATGAGATGGCACCAGATGGCGTACGCTATCATCAACGGCTGGAACGAGCAGACAACATTATTGCGGCAATTTTCAGGGGTGCGATGATTACTTGAGGAAAAAAAAATTGCATTTTTGTTGGGCGATGTTGGGGGTGCGAGAATTATGCCAGTGCGAGGATTACGCGAGTAAATACGGTATGTGCGACTAGGCTTCGTACCTGCGTCCCCCAGAGCCAAAGCGGCGCTGGTTGGAAGCACGCTGCTCTGCTTGCACTTCCTTGGCCAGGGAGGCTAGCCAGTCCGGCAGTTCCTGCTTGGTTTCCGTTATCAGCTCCACAAGGTCCAGGGCCATGTTGCGATTTTTCTCATTGAAGAAAGACGTTGCCAAACCTGCACCAAACAGAACCTTTAATGGCACAGTGTACAACTACGATCGTGCAAATGAGGAGAGAATGCAGATAGAGAAGAACCCTGCTGACACAATTCTTATAGGACATTTGAACCAGCACAAAAGCTGTGGAAAATGAGAAATAGAGCAGTGGTATGGTAAACAAGTGCCTAGACTTGAACAAGTCATGCGCTGTTGCCTGCTGCCCTTTCAGATACCCCAGTGGGACAAATGTTATGGACGCCTGCACTGCTAAGTGGCTTTCCCTACCCTAACTGTAGCAAACACTGGTAAATAAGGCTGTAGGCTATGGCCACCACAGGTAGTATTATCGTAAAGTGATCATTCCCATCAATAATGTTCCTGGCCTGCTGTCATAGCGCAGTTGGCACAATGCGAGATCACTGTAGCCAACATGATGGCTGAACACAACGTTGCATTAGGGGGGGCATTTGAAAACCGAAAAATTGTGAAAAAGTCGTTTTTTAAAAACCACATATTCGAGTAGTATGTCTTATAAATTATCTGTTCTGTGATTATCAATGTTTAATACATTGATTGATTGATTTGTGGGGTTTAACGTCCCAAAACCACCATTTGATTACGAGAGACGCCGTAGTGGAGGGCTCCGGAAATTTCGACCACCTGGGGTTCTTAATGTTTAATACATTGCAGAAGTACGTCAAATAAACTGTATAACATGCCGTGGCCGCTGACGAGTGGCCAGTGAGCGCTGAAAGTACCCCACCTTCACGCGTTTGCAATTTTCCAACCACGCGCCACGCGGCCCAGCGCCGCCATCCTGGTCTTGTTTTGCTCGAGAATTCTTCCTCTTCTTTTTTCCCCCACCACTGCGGCATGACCAAGGCGGGAATCAATCGCTCATGATTGGGGGCTCTCAAAGTTTTGAAGTCTCCTGCGGCTCGGATGTGAAGCCGCGAATAGAGGAAGCGCGCGCCTGTCGAGGGAGTGGCCGATCAAGCAGCTCCTATTGGCTGCTGCGTGCAATGATGCATCTGTTCCCCCGGCTCGCCATCGCCGGTGTTCTTGGCGTGTGTTCTTTTCCCCTTTGCCATCATTACGCTCTGTTCTCTTCAATCTTTCACAGTCTTTACGAGACAATCCTTCGTCGTGTTCATGAGGTGCTGATTGCTGTTCTGTCACTAACGATGGGCAGAGCAAAGTTTGGGAATCGGGACGCGTTCTGTTCAAGAAAGCGTCTGATGGAGCTCGTATGCATGACGAGGCTCGTTCACGTGCCAACGCGTGGGCGACAGTCGCATCGATGTTGAGTAGGTTATCCTTTGCCTTTTCAGACGACTGCATTGATACTTATCGCGACATCGAGAATCGGCGCAACGCTCCGTCTCACAAGTGAGGTTGGTATTTCGTGCTCAAGTGCACCTGGTGCACTGCGCTTGCTAACTGCAGTGATTACTACCCCGAACAGTGCGACCGCGACGTCGCCTGTGCATTTATCTATAGACGTGCGAGGAATAGCCGCGGAGGATAGTACACGTGTTGCTGTGCAACCAAAGCTTGGCACTATGTCGGCAACCAACGGGCAGCGCAGAAAGACCCTTTCCATGTGAAAAAGGCTCAAGAACAGCTGCAACACAAGCAGAAAAAGAAAAAAGTCCTAAAGAACATTGCTAGCTACTTTGCAGGGTCATTTTAGACCAAAATATGTATTCGAAATTTTCAAAGTCCGTTTTCTTAGAATGACTTTTTTGGCCAGTGAGGCTGTTTAGTCTGGTGATATCTCTGCAACCGCTCATATGATTTCTATTACATTTGTTTAATTAAGTACCATACTAAATAGCCTACAGGCTAGAGCCATTTTTAAAATTATTGCGTCTAATTTGTGATAACTAAAATGTCATTGATAAATGCTCAATGGCAAACACCAAATTCAGTGCCCTGCTAAAAATTTTCAGCAAAGAAATAAAAAAAGGGGGGGCTCTGTCTTAGTGTAAAGCACCTATCCAGGAATCATCACAGTGAATTTCACGGTGCTAGCACATTTATTAAATCCACCAGAGCCCGACTAAGAAACCTGTGTGGACTATCCCGATAAATGGCTCCAACTTTAGAAACAATAAACCTAAATGCAAGAAATTTCGTGGTTATTCAAATGGCTTTATTGTTAGCCAACCCTAAAAATTTCATTAGAATACCTCAACAAACAAAAAAAGTTGCCCTTTCACGGTAGTCTCCCCCCTTAAGGGGGCGCACGAGTCTTAGAAGGCCGAAAATCGCGAAAAAATCGACTTTTTAAAGCTGACATTTTCTGAATGTGTACCTATTTATGCACTTATCTAAGAAGCTTCTAGCTTCTCGCGTCATTTATGGTGCAAAATCAATTTACAACTCTCCTGTGAGATGAATGTGAGCGCAAATAGATGCTTAAATCGTGTTTTTTTTTCTTCACACCGAACTGTTGCCGGCACACACGAGCTATGGTGGTGATCTTGATTTCGTTTGGAAGGGTCATTTTCATCTTCAAGTTCCCGCCACCGCTGGTTCGCTTTGCTTGTTGCTTTTTCAGCAAAAACTCGTTGAGAAGCATCAGCGTGCGACTATATTGGCTGCTTTGGGCATGTGACAAAACCTACATATCCCATTGGCCAAGTGGCGTTCCCGGCGTCTGCTTCACCATCATGACGTGCATGGACATGCGCCATTTTGTCATGGTGTTGTCGACTGCATGCTGCAGTAAGAAGTTTCGTGCCACACCAATTCATGAAGTGGGTGTGGCGATCATTCTCTCTCCGTCACCTTCAGAAAAAGCCCCGCAATGGCTCAGGACGAAGATAAACTTGCGGCGGTCAACAGTGGTCACCGAGCCACCGGTGTAGGCCTAGCTCACGTACCAGCCCGTCAGTTGCCAACGTCACAGAAAGGGGCTGCGTTTTGCAGCCTCATCAGTTAAAGGACAGCAAGTAAAAAGTAGAAGTGAAGCTAGGAGAGATATCAATCTTTGCAGCGACAGAACGGAAGCGCAGTCTTACAGCTGGACGCGTAGATGCCGTGGTCTCCCGCGCCTGATGAAACATCGCTTGTGCATGAACTGCGTGACGAGTCATCAGAGTGGAGTATACCGCGCGTCGACGAACAACAGAAAAATAATCTGTTCGCGGTGAACATCCTCGCCAGCCCAATGAAGGCTATTGGCAACAGGTAGACTGCTTTTTAACGACATGTTCGCAACGATGTCATGGTCTCCACTAAAAAATGTGACAGTCTCACGTGAAAAAACTAACATGATCAGCACTAATATAGCCTCGAAATTGTGAGCTCATTGCAAACAATCAGTCTGATCACATGCCCGGTGTATATTACTTCACTAAAAGTATGTGTGTCAAAATTTTTTTCACCCGCAACAGCGAAATAAATTTTAACAGTATTTTCTTCTCGAAACACAGATTTTGACCACTTTCCTTGTTGGCTTGTTCTGAAAAGTGGACTCGGGACAGCTAGAGCTGTAATTATTTTTGCACGACGTAGCTAAGTGTGCACAAAAAACAACCTTGGCAGCCCATTTTTGATGTGTGGCTCCAATTTTTATTTCAATATAAAATTTTACTTCTTGGTTACATGCAATGAAATTTATTGTGCTGTAATTCAAGAAGTACTTGTTCAATTTTCAATCAGCTTGCAGCATTGCACTCCATAGGCTTTCTAGTATCCATGTATATGTTAATGACTATGCAAGTCTAAGTACATACAATTTTACAGTTAAAAATGTTAGAATTCTGTTTTCATGATTTTCTCACAATGGCAATTTTGTACATGCTGCACGAGAATTGCTGCAATATATCGTAAACTATTACAGATGGCAGAATAATTCTTTTTGAAGCATGAAGCTATATGTTTGGAGCACACAACATAAGCAGATTTCAATTTCTCGTGATCTCAGTTTTTAACATTACTCTTTAGTGTGAACAAACCATGGCTACATTCCGAGCTATGAAGTTTAGTGTACTGTTATATAAGAAATTACTACCCAATCAAAAAAGTGTTTCCTACGTTGCGTGTCTTACGCTTTCTACTGTTAAGAAAGGACGTGGCAATGGAAATTGTAAATTTGGTCAAAATGTTTCCTTTTTCGATTATTTTTTTTTTTTGTAACCCTAAGACCATGTTTTACAACAAAGTGCGATTTTAGATCAAAATAAGTAGTAGAAGATCAGAAACAAGCATTTTACTGGTGGGCTGTCGTCAAAAGCGATGTGAAAATAGGGCATAGCAAAATGCAAATTTGCAGCTTTCCCTTTGCAAAGTGCCACCATATTTTCATCATCATTAAGAGGACAGATTGGAGCTCAAGATAGCCACAAAGATGCATTTCTCCATGTCACAAATGACTGCACTTTTTCTCTTGCCCGCACGTCCCATTGTACAAGGAAGGGCGCTTTTGTGTTGGGAAGACGACATCCGGCGACTAACGACCCAGCGATGGCGCCGCCGCAACTTTTTTACACTTGTACCGAAAGGGGTACACATGTGTTCTAGAAAAAGGAAATCACCTACGGATGTGATGGGAGCACGCGTACGTCGCGAGAGGGTTTGGAGTGCATCTGAATCGGCAGTTAACGTGCAACGAGTAGGAGTGACCCGGGCAACGTATTGAGACGACTGCAATTCAGGACACCCTCGTTGTCTACTAAGCCGGCGAGATCTTCAGCGGAACCCATCAAAAGCTGTACCGTACCAAGAGCTGGCCTGGTCGCAATAGAAATTTGTTTTTTTCAACTGTTATTTTATCATAACCAGCTTTTCAATAATTGTAGTTGTATGCGCTGTGTGACAACTAGAAATTCGGAAGCGTGCGCATAATCTTTTTCTCGTAAATGTTCTTTATCTATCCTGTAGTTTCATTATGTTATTTTATTAATATTACGCAGATTTGTCTTTTATCTGTACCTCTTGGAGTGTTCCTTTGGAGAATAGTTTTTCAGCTGTTCTTTTCCATCGCGCGAACTTTTGCCGTTTCCTCAGG